AACCCAGCAGAGGAGCGGAGACGCTCTGCTCCCAGCTCACCTGGCGCCACATAAGTGATGCTGCCTTTATTTGCCTCCAACGGTTGTCCTGGTCATCCAGGGTGATTCCACTCGGTTCTTACCTGCTCAAAGATGCCTCTGCTGACCCCTCCGCCCAAAACAGCCCCTCCCCACCTGTTACCACCTACCTTCTCACTCTGCTTAACGGTAGCACGCTTCACCACTGAAGGGGAACCTTGCATGTCCATCTGTCCATCCATCCATCCATCCATCCATCCATCCATCCATCCATTCATCCATCCATCCATCCATCCATCCATCCATTCTTCTTTCTTTCCATCCATCCATCTTCTATCCATCTTTCATTCCTTCCATCCATCCATCCTTCCATTCATCCTTCTATCATCCATCTTTCTTTCATCCATCCATCCATCCATCCATTCATGCTTCTGTCTATCTTTCCATCCATCCACCCATCCATCCATCCATCCTTCCATTCATGCTTCTGTCTATCTTTCTTTCCATCCATCCACCCATCCATCCATCCATCCATCCATCTATCCATCCATCCATCCATCCATCTATCCATTCTTCTTTCTTTCCATCCATCCATCTTCTATCCATCCATCTATCCATCCTTCCATTCATCCTTCTATCTATCTTTCTTTCCATCCATCCATCCATCCATCCACCCACTAATTCATTCATGCATTTATTTTTAAGACACAATCTTACTTTGTGGGCTAAGCTGGCCTCAAACTCACAATCCTCCTGCCTCAGCCTCCCAGGTAACTGGTACTATGGGAGTGTACACCAAGTCCAGTTGGTTTCTTTTCCTCCTAGTAACTTGGTTCCCATCGGGAGAGGGGCTTTGTTCAATTTACCCTGGTATCTGGGATGGGCTCTTCATAAACAATACCTGGGGAAATAATTGGACTCAACAAAACAAAGCCTTATTTCAATTACTGGTAATTTTGAGGAAAAAAAACCAAACTCTCTTAGAACCAAAACAACATTGTGATCTATTCATAAGAATAGACCCGGCAAAGGGAAGCCAAATCCAACAACCCAGTGGAACTGGACGTGTGTTTCTATTTCTTACAATGGGGCCCTTGGTGGGAAAACCTCCACCAGCTCCACGGCATCCTCCACGGGTTCATCCTTTCACCGGAATCCCTCTTTGGCTCATGGGTTTATTGAGACTCCCGTGGTGCCCTGGCCTCTGGGTACAGACAGGGAGCTGCTTAGTCACGGAAAACTGGAGGCACGTGGCGCGTGGCTTATCCACGAGGCAGGAAGTGGGAGAGTGTGGGTCCACAATGGTGAGGGGGTGATGGGCGTGGACCAAGCTCCTGGGGCCATCTTGGTTTTTCAAAGACTTGACTTTTCTTTGAGAGAGACACAGGAAGCGACCCGCGGGCTTTGCTTAGGAGTGACATTCTCTGGCCTCAGTCAGTCTCTCTCTCGGTGTTGTACAGCGCGCTCTGAATGTCGTTGTCCCCCAATTCCCAAATTGGACACAGTCTGGAACATGGGGCGCAAACGGCATCTGGAATGTGTATGTGTGTATCGGGGGGAGCCTTTAACGGAGATATTTTCTGTGCACCATCGTCACAGATTTCCTTGTTTTGACCAGACAACGGGGCGCTCCAGCACCCTGGCGCCCCTCTATTTTCCAAAGTGTGTCCTGAGTGCCCACATTCCTTCCCTGTGGCGTGCAAGAGGGAAAGCTCCATACCGTCACGGCCTCGTTGACATCTGCCCACGGTCGGAATTCACTCCCCATGCGCCAGCCACACCCCAGTCACCCAGCCACGGACTGCTCCGTCTCTGCTGCGTGCGAGATCTTGGAGAAAAGACGATAAATCAAGGCTCAACACAGACATCACCCCTATTTCCAAAAAAAAAAAAAAAATAATAATTTAGTGTAATCTGATCGTCTTGCAAGAATTTTCTACAGAATGGTTTTTGGAGGAAAAAAATATTAATTAAAAAAAAATAAACATCAGCTTTTTCTTACAGTTCTGCTGGCGTAGTCCAATATAGCCCATTAGCAACCCTCACTGTGTCTGAGAGAATTTTGGAGATTGTGGGCTTGATCCCACTGGCAAAATGTCTCTCACGGTGCAAACTGGCGAGGCAGACGGCCGAACCAGTACAACGTTCCTCGGATGAAGCTGATTAAAAGCCGGATGTTCCGACGCCCACTGCAGAAGGCTAAGTGTTGGAATTGCCTGGGGAGCGAACGAGGTCCCGGGCTTGCTCTGTGTCCCACGAGACTCTGCCAGGACTTCTCCCGAGGTGGGCGGCGTGGACCGGAGCCTGGATGTGTGTGAGGCTGGCTTTGAGCTGGGGATCCTCCTGCCTCAGCCTCCTGAGTCGCTGGGGTGACAGGCGTGTGCCACTGCACCTCCCTAATTAGTGACATTTATTAGTGACACTTGTTAGTGACATTTTGTTTTTCTGGAAGAGTCCCTTATTTCTTGAGGAGGCAGAGTGCTTTATCCGGGAGACGGTTCAATACCCGACGAGGGCTCCACACTCTAATGTCTCCCTCACTGAGTTTTCTAGATGCATTTTTAAAATAGTCAGAAACTGCTTCCTGACACCTTCTTCATTTTAAAAGGCAATAGAAGCTCGTCGTTATTATTTTTTTTTTTAGAGCAGAGATGTTTTTCACCGTGATCCTGAAGTTGTCCCATGTTTCGCTGTAATGATAACGTTGACTGGTAAATGCATTTTCAATTGCTCTGAAGTCCTCTTTTACTACGATTTCTCGGTGTTATTTTGTAGGTAAAGACGGAAGCGATTGGTTCCTCCTAAGACAGACCTGCTGACGCAGAACAGGGAAAAAGATCAAAGTGAAAACTTCCAAGTATGCTTCCTGCCGCACGACGAGGACCACTTCTGAACCATCGTGCACTTTAAAAACCGTAAGCAGAGCCTTGGTAAATCAAAGGCCAGAGCCGTGTCGACGGCTACGTTTGTCCCGAGGATGGTTTTCAAGAGACGCCAGAATGAATAAAGACATTCAAGGAGACATGAAGCCACTCGTGGATGAATCCAGAAGACCTCCGACGATTGGTGGGTTTGGGAGCTGAGAGAATCTGGGAGCCCCGCAGCACATGCCACTATTTCATGGCTGTAATTGAGCTCACAGACACCTAGGCCCAGCCTGTTCTCATCCTCCTCAGCCCACCTGCACCCGCAAAACCCAATCCTCCCGAGACCAGGGAGAGGCGACGCGTCATCTTAGCAGCACAGGGTAAAAGAGGGGACAATAGTGGCTGCCCATCTTAGTGGAGTGAGATGGTATCTCAGGGTGGTTTTGATTTGCATTTCTCTGACTGCTAGCGATGCGGGGAAAAGGGTACTCTTGTACACTGCTGGTGGGACTGCAAATTGGTGCAGCCAATTTGGAAAGCAGCATGGAGATTCCTGGGAAAGCTGGGAATGGAACCACCATTTGACCCAGCTATCACCCTTCTCGGACTATTCCCTGAAGACCTTAAAAGAGCATGCTACAGGGCTGCTGCCATATCGATGTTCACAGCAGCATGATTCACAATTGCTAGACTGTGGAACCAACCCAGATGTCCCTCAATAGATGAATGGATAAAAAAAATGTGGCATCTATGCACAATGGAGTATTACGCTGCACTAAAAAATGACAAAACCATGGAATTTGCAGGGAAATGGATGGCACTAGAGCAGATTATGCTTAGCAAAGCTAGCCAATCCCTAAAAAACAAATACCAAAGTCTTCTTTGATATGATGAGAGTAACTATGAACAGAGCAGGGAGGAAGAGCAGGAAGAAAAGATTAACATTAAACAGAGACATGAGATGGGAGGGAAAGGGAGAGAAAAGGGAAACTGCATGGAAATGGAGGGAGACCCTCATTGCTATACAAAATTACATATAAGAGGTTGTGAGGGGAATGGGAAAATAAACAAGGAGAGAAATGAATTACAGTAGATGGGGTAGAGAGAGAAGATGGGAGGGGAGGGGAGGGGGATAGTAGAGGATAGGAAAGGTAGCAGAATACAACAGTCACTAATATGGCATTATGTAAAAATGTGGATGTGTAACCGACGTGATTCTGCAATCTGCATTTGGGGTAAAATTGGGAGTTCATAACCCACTTGAATCTAATGTATGAAACACGATATGTCAAGAGCTTTGTGATGTTGTGAACAACCAATAAAAAAAAAGAAGAAAAAAAAAGAGGGGACAATAAAAACACCTAGCGTTTGAATCAAGGCTGCAGGACCCCAAATACTTTGCAACGTGGACGCTGCCTCTTGGACCTCTGCTCCCAATGTCTACCTCACCCTGCAGCCACCTCTCTCTCTTGCTCTTCCCTGAGATTGCTGTCCACCCTACCCCCCCAAGGTCCTCCGATTTATTTTATTAAATAAAATAAAAGACTCGAGTCTTTCCCTGTTCACCTTCACTCATTTTTCCTTGGCGTAGACTTAGGGGTTGAACTGCAGTGTCGATGTCCACTCAGAGGACAATAGGGAAACATGGGGAAAGAAAAAATAGTCAGCCTGGCAAAGGTGACTGTTCCTTTTTCATTTCTCCCTGTTCTTCATGATTTAATATATAAGGCCCGATTAGCATTGGGCCCCAACAGGTGGTTTTTCCAAAGAGATGACAAAACCATCTTTAAAGCTAGTTTGGTCAGTTGAGAAACCATATGTCACCATTCACAGATCAAAAGAAAGCTACATGGGAGACTTTGGATTCCACTTTAATGGTGGCCCTAGCAGACAGGACAGATGTTATGGGCCACGGGCACCATGTTTGTGGTTTTTCCACTGTTTACGTCAAGGAGGGAAAATCCTGCAGACAGGACCTTCCTTGTCATAACCACTTGCTTGTTGATCCATCTCCTTCTGTCTCTCCCCGTAGTGATACATAGCATTTGTCAACCTTCTTCCCACCTTATACAGTATACTCACAATGTATTCCTTTGCCTCTAAGTCGCTACCCACCTTCTCTGCCGGCCACTGTGGAATATTACCAAAGCTTTCTGGACTGTGACGTTCCATGTTTCTCCTTGTCTCCACGTAGTTCCTTAAGAGAAAAAAAAATACATATTTGCATATGATAAATGTTGATTTATTGATAAACATATACATTATATTCATCTATTTTTTCAGGTGACTGCAATTCCATACGCTAATGCAAGAAATAATGCAGAGAGATTCCCACATGAACTTCACCCAGTTTCCTGCAAGAGTAACTTTGGGGCAGAAAAGGTCACAATGAGGAAACCGATGTCCACCCACCTTATTTGTATTTCCCCAGTTTCGCATGTGTTTTCTGTAAATGTGCGTGGACTACCTCAATGCGATCCTATTGCACGCTCAGTCCTTCCTCCATAAGATTCGTGAGTTCACTTTAATGCACGACTCTTAAATATTCACCCTTTTCAATTTTAGTTTCCAAAACGCACCGTTTTGACTGAAGTCTCTAAGATTTCCATGTGGCCAAGTTTGCTCGAACTCTCAGGGAGCTTAATTATCACTGGCACTCAGCATGGAACTCTTTTAAGATGGGAGAAGTATTTTTAGACTCTGAAATTCTTTCCAATTAACCAAGTCATCGTTTCTTGTGGAGAATACTGAGAAGGTTCACTGGAAGGTGGGGTGTGAGCTCTCCGTGATGCATCCCCACACCTCCGTATCCTAAGCACTTCTGATTGGGATCCTCATCTCCCTGCTGTAACATTACATCATGGTCCAATTCTGGACTTTGAAATTACCAAAAAAAAAAGAAAAAAAAAAAAAAAGAAAAGTAAATGTAAATGAATTTGTTGATAACTATGGGCAAATGTTATTCAGAACATAGCGGAGGGGATTCCTCAAGTATATGATTTCATTTTATTTCAAAGTTCCAAATTGGAAGGGGCAAGCCCTACGTGTTAGTCAGCTTCCCGTCACTGTAACAAAACGCCTGAGATAAGTTAACTTGTAGAGTCCAAAGGTTACAGGGTTCACAGTTCTGAAGGTTCCAGTCCATAATGGAGCAGACCCACAGCTTTGGGCTTCTGAGGAGGCACTACATCTTGGTGGATGCCAGGGGGCAGGACAAGATCCTTCATATCATGAGCCAGGAGACGGAGACGGAGACGGAGACGGGAAGGGGCTGGGATGCGTTCTGCTGAGCCAAAGGATCACATGTGCTGGATTGCATTTTCCGACGCACCAGGCAACTTCCGGAGCGTGTTAGAGGGATGAAGTAGGCCAGAGACGTCTCCTGGGTCCGGCGAGGTCTCAAGATGCAGGAAGCGGACGGTGGCCTCACCCACGGCTGGCAGATTCACGGGCTCCTGCTCACAGAGAGCGCCTCGGGGGTGGCGTTCTTTCCCGAGCAGGGGTGACGGGCAAAATCCCCACTACCCCTTCTGCCCGTCTCATCTCCTGTTCACGGGGCCTGCTCACGGCCTGCTGCGGGTGAAGGGTGGGAACAGCACCTAAGAGCGGTCTGCCCCTCCTCCTGCTTCCTGCACGCCCAGGTTGGCGGAGCTAAAGGTGAACACAGCCGCACAGGCACGAAATCATCATCCATGCCAGGACAGAAACCCCCACGGGAGGCAGAGCTGGGCTGTGAGGCTTCACCAGAACCGCGCTGAGCCAGTCCTCCAAAGCGCTGGGGGGAAACGCCATTGGAAGAACACAATGGCTCAGGGCCTTGCGGCTGGGGTCCGTCTCACACTGGACCCTGCTTCGGTGATGCCTTCATTGAAGGAGCCGTGGCTTCCGAGGTCCCCGTGACTCAATCTTCCTTGTTGGAACCCAGTCGCTGCCCGGGCAAGGGCTGTGCCCGGAACTCACAGCCGATGGAGCCCTGCACACGCCCTCCGTGTTGCACGCGGGTGTGCCAGAGGCAGGGCCCGGGTCCTCGGGCAGAAGCTGCTTAAGTGGGTGCTTCCCGTTCTCTCGGGATTTTCTTGTGGCAAATGCCAACTGCCCCCTTTCTCAGGCCATGCCTCTCTGAGGGCCTGAGCCAGAGTGGGCGGCGGGTGGTTTTGCAGGGAAGGAAAAGGGGGACAGGGGCATTTTGAGGGTGACTTTGGTTACACGGCTTCAAAAGGTTCGAGGGAAGAAGACAAGTCTGTGGGCTGAGCTGAGACTGAGTCCCTTTTCCAGCGTCACAAAGGCGGACAGTTCCCCGCTCTCGGGACCCGAGTGCGCGTCTCCAATGCCTTCCGTTTGGGGACTTTTGTCACGCCTGTGTTTTTCCCGGATGACCTCCTGCGACGTGCTAGAGGATAAGTGGTTTAGGGTTGGCATGCCACGGGGGTCTCTGTTGTGGCCACCGCACCCGGCCACGGTGGCCCGCCACAGCCTCGGTCAACAGGCAAAGAACGGAGTGTGGCATTGCGCGCGAGTCTTATTGTTCCAACTTAATATAAATGGAATCATTTAGTAGCAATTATTAAAAATTTTTTTTGGGTACCAGGGATGGAACTCAGGGGCGCTCGACCCCAGAGCCCCGTCCCCAGCCCTATTTTAGATTTTATTTACAGACAGGGTCTCCCTGAGTTGCTTTCGGCCTCCCTTTGGCGGAGGCTGGCTTTCAACTCGCCATCCTCCTGCCTCAGCCTCCCGAGCCGCTGGCAGATTTCAAAATACCTCCGGTGTGATATCCCTTAGCTTCCCCTCTCCAACATCTGGAACATTCTCCGTGTCTGAGAAGCTGCTCTGGGCTGGTCGGCCCTTCGACGAACGGAGAGCGGTCATGTGTCTTAGGCTGAGGAGCACCGGACAGGGATCCGACAGGATGAGTCCGCAGACACCAGTTCTTATTAATTTTACATTTATCCCAGGACAGGGGCAAGAAGCGTCCGGCATGTCGGAAGCCCCGTCCACTTCTCTGAAGGAGCACAAGTGGTCAGAGACCTCCCTCATTCACAAACAGCTCATGCAGAACTTCCTCCCCAGAGACAGGAGCAAGACATGAAACCCTCGACTTTGCACAGACAAGGACCCCGACTGGTTACACAAAATAGGTCTTTTTTAAAAAAGACTCCCTCCGAGCGAGCGCACAGCCTGCCTTTAACATTCCTATGCCCCGCGGCCCTGCACCCAATGCACCACAGGCCATTTGCATGCGTGGTTCTCGGAGCAGGCACATTTGGCCTCGATGGATGTCGTCACGGACGGGTGCGTCACTGCAGCAGCTCTTCCCGATGTCCATGTGGGTCTTTAAAACCAGAACCCCCAGCTCCCCAACATCTACCCCGAGTCCTGCTGGCCTCGGCTTGTGAACGATGCCTAAGGTTTTGGGATGAAGTATAAAAAAAGATATTCACAAAATTCTCCTTCCCCTCTTGTTCGTAACGCACCAAAGAGAACCTCTGCTCCGACCTGGTAAAGGCCTGATCCCCAGATTGGCCCACAGGGAGGTGTGGAGCCCGAGGGAGGTGAGTCTTAGCGGGAGGCCTTTGGGCCATTGGGGTAGTGTGCTCTTGAAGGGTCCTGTGGGACCCTGGTCTCTTCTTCTTTCTTTCTTTTCGAATCTTGACCACGAACTGCAGAGTTGAGCAGATTTTCCGTGCCTCTGCGTTACCAGAGTCCCCAAATCAACAGGGTGAACCACCCATAGATAGAAACCTCTAAAAACTGTCGGCCAAAAGAAACCTTTTTTCTTGATAAGCCAGTTATGTCAGTATTTTCTTACAGTGCAGGCAAGCTGACAGACACAGTCAGTTCAGCCTCCTCTTCTTCCTGACTTTCTGTAGTTTTCCATTCCGAGATCGGCCTTCCCTATCTGCAAACTCTGCATCCTCAGATTCCACCAGCTGCAGATCAAAACTTAAAAAAAAAGACTTGCAGCTTCAGTGAACATTTTTTTGACTGTCACTACACCCTAAACTATAAAAAATGACAACTATCTACATGGCACCTACGTTGAGTTCAGTATTTTAAGTCATCGAGAGATGATTTAAAGCACCTGAGTTATATGCAAGTGCTATGCCATTTGTATAGGGCACTTGTGGATGTGGGCGCCTGTGCGTGTGTGTGACGGGGAGGTGTGTGATGGTGACAGAGACAAGATGGCTGTGGCTCTTGCTACCAAAACAACAACAACCGTTGCATGAAGGAGAGACGCTACCTATGTGATATTGCTTCCCCAGAGTCAGCTGTTAACCGTGTGTCTGTCTCCCCCGATATCAGGTTGTAGATCCTAAATGTACACAATAGTATTTATTTCAAAAAAAAAAAAAAAAATGTGTCAGATTCGACAAGTCAAAGAGAAGCATTGGCACCAAAGTGAAAATGGAAAAAAAAACGCGAGCAGTTTGAACTCTTAACATTAAGTCCATCAACAAACTGCATGGCACCAGAGGGGGTAGCACCTGCCTGTCATCCCGGGGGCTGGGGAGGCTGAGGCAGGAGGATGGTGAGTTGGAGGCCAGGCTCGGCAACTTAGGGAGGCCGTGACAACTTAAAGAGACCCTGCCTTAAAATTAAAAAATAAATAAATTAAAATAAAGGGTAGTGGGCTTTGTGGTTAAGCACCCTGGGCCCTCCGCACTTGTGTCCGCAGGGCCTGGTTCACAACTCCATGTGCCAAAGGCAAGATTGCCCGAGATGGTACCACGTGGAAAACGTGATTCTCAAATGTACGTGGAAAGACAGACGCAGGGATAATCATGAGACCTTTTTAAAGGCTGAATAGTATTCCACTGTGTAGGTAAGACCATTAAATAGGTTCCATGGTTCGTCTTCACGTCAAGCCTCTCATTTACTCTCACGAATGTCCACCTGTTAATTCTCTTTTCTGATGCAAGGGTAGAAAATTCTAGATAAAATAAGGCACGGCTTTAAGGCCCGTGGAAGGTTTTATATGTAAAGCCGTCACTGAAATATAGTTGGTTCCAGCCAACTCCAGGACGTATGGTGCTAAAGTCAAAACTCCTTTTATTTTAAATTCTAGGGGAACTTTCAGAAACTTTAAATCATACAGCTATCGTTCATTCTGTCACTCCACCCATCAAATATCCTCCTTTACAAGACCAAACGACCAATTCTCTCTTTTTCTTTTTTCGGTGCTGGAGAGTGAAT